AACCACTATTTCCCACATAATCCCTGCTGCATGGTCAAACCTGAAATCCTTCATCATTAATCCAAATTCAAAATCGAATGTGCCAACCTTCAGTAACATCACAGAATGTCTGAACACTAATTGGACATTGAATGTTCCCCATGTGAATTTAACATCATCTCAAGAAAACTTGCATGAAATTCTAGAATTGATTGAAGATAAAACTACTTGGTCCTACTCCGATACTTACGGTATGCATGGTGATTCCATCTTCATTATTTGGAATTCAATCTTGTCAATTTGTGTGGTGTATATCCTTTTCCGGAATCACCCAAACCTGGCACTTCTTCCAATGGCAGCACAGGTACAAGCCGGCGGTGAGAGTAAAACTCACCACGACGTCTTATTCTCCCTCCTGTGTACGGCCTTCCTACTCTTCTTCTTATACCTCTGCTACAGACTGAGTGCCAAGTTCTCATTTTTCTGCAGAAAACCTGAAACAAATACAGAAACCCCTGTACCAGCAGAAAGAACAAGAATTCAAAGAAATAAGTATGTTCTAGAGCTGGATGAAAACCCCCTATCATTGACTGAAGGAAGAAGCATGTCATGCACTTTGCATGGATATGATGACTCTGACGCAAGAGCAACTAAGTTTTAAGAGATAGAAATATTATCTTTCAAGATTAATTCACTGAATAATTTGAATAAAAAAGATATATGTAGTCATAATTAAAAATACTGAGTTCTACTGGAAAAAAAAAGGCAAGCAGCTATGAGTAAATTTGGAAATGAAACATTTCAATTCAATATGTTCAAACGTTTCAAGTATAAAGAATAGTGGAGCATCACTCCCCATATATTGAACCTATTGCGAATATGGACATGACACACCCACACTACCACCTAACTATTCCTGTATGCGTACCTATACTTTTTGTCAATATAGTTTGTTTTATGTATATGTATTGTTATGTCCAAGACAAAATCTCAATTTTTTATGTAAGTGATTAAATATGTATATGTACTTGGAAATAGAATCTCGGGAAAAATACTGAATATGCGAATTACTAGAACATAACAGAAAGGTGTATCTGATGAAGTAAGATTTATTATGGAGAAGTATGTTGAAATATGATACGCTTATGACAGATGATAATGCAAGATAAGAGGGACGCCTCGAAGATGAATAACAACAATAGTTGCAAATCAGCTGTCAAGCCATGGCGTATAAATAAGTGCAAAGATGTTATTTTGTTATTGTCACGTAGTAAATGTGATGCGTGAAGAGAGAGAGATATAATGACGTGAAGGCACTCGAAAGTGCAAATTGATGTATTCGTTTCGAAGTGAGACGATAGATGTATGAAATAATATGTTTTTCTCGCGATATGAAGAGAAATAGGGACAAAGTAAATTGTCAGATTAGAGGAAATAATGGCAGATACAAGGTTAATGATCTTCGGGATGTACGAGATGAAGTTTCCACAAAATACCTAGATATTCATCATATGTAATTCAATGCTCGTCGTAGGTATTAGCCAGGAGTGTAGTTGTTTTATGATGAATATCATACAGGAAGATGTTTTTTTTCGGTGACAAACCATTTATAATATTAGAAAACAAAAAAAATTAGTAACATTGAGATAACATATAGGAATGAGAATTGATTGAATAAATGAAACATTGAAATGAAAATCAAGGATACGGGTGTGTCATTCCTATTTCAAATCAAGGAAGAATCAATTTCCTACAATTCAAGGAGAAATTTAAGATAAAACAAACAATTCCATATATCTATAGTAGAAAAGAGATTCTTGGAAAAATGATAGCAGCATATAGGTACATCTTTTTCATGAACTAACTTAGGTAGTTTTGTTTTTAGAGATCGCTAATCGATAAAGTTATATCACCAATATTCAATTATTTTATAACTAGTTAGGTAGTTTTATATGTATTCTTTTGTATGAACTTACTGCCGATATTTTTTCTCTCTTGTTACATGTGAAACGAAGAACCACACTTGATGGCACCACTCAGATGCAGCCCAAGAAGTCGACCTGAACCACAAACAGTCATAGGCCCATATACCACGTCAAAGGTGTTTTGGTCCATGGGAAGTTCCATCGTTCCTGGAGTCATCTAGTAGAGGAAATTCGAATGGTAGAGAGCCCTGGAAAATTGGAAAATGCAGTTATCACGGAATGAATAAGCCGAGTCGATATATCGCAACTATAGGATGCATGCCCCAAGCAACTTACTTTGTATCCCGCCTGATGTGCCTCGAAATGGTAGATACGCTGCCCCGTGAAGAGCTGCCCAATTCGCATGACGATATGCTTTTCCGACGCTACAGGAGCCCAAAAGGCAGCCAAAATCCACGAAACCTAGACGAAATTTCCACGAGGTTGAGATGGAAAGGTGCAGAATAGACAAAACTTACCAGAGCCCCGACTACAGGAAGTCAATACAGTAACCAAAGTAATGTCTATATTCCCAAGCAATTAAGTTCGCACTTCTACTCACTATACGATAATCACGCCGATTATAAGTATGTTGATAGTACCGAACTACCGAAATCATTGCGAAAACGAAGCACTAGTAGCAATGGACGACAAACTACTTATTCAGCAATTCTCGTTATCTGCATATAAAGAGACAGAGATACTCTCCTAAATCTCTTCTCGATTTTTCTCCAGAGACGATAGAGCGCAGCATCCAAAGAACGCAGCAATCGCAGTCTATAAGCGGAACCGTACACTGCCACAGAAAACGTCTCATCAGAGAGCTAGTGTCCCCTCCCAGGCGAGATTGGACGCCATCAGTCCATCTCACAGATCTCTCGTGCATCAATCCTACCATGTAATGATATCGATGTTATGGATGTATCAAGTTACAAGTAAGACAGAACATCGCTGACCTACATTACGAACATATGGAAAATGGAACTGCAACCTCAGATGACTGGAAGGACAGAGTTCAGTGTCAACAAACAATTAAAGTGCAGTGCCGGACCAAGTAATATTTAGTGTGGTTCTCTTCGAAACTCTCACATGCGCGGTGAACAATTAGAAGACATTATCAATAGACAGTAGACAGTTCGACAAGGTTTTTGTACTTTATATTTTTTTTTTCCCGATTTCATTGACTTTCAGATTCATGAAAGGAGTATTGTTTCTTCACATGCTGTTCATTTAAATAAGCAATACTTGCATCATTTTACTATATTTTGTTTTGTTACCATATTTATATTTAGGATCTATTTTCACATTTTTTCTCATCATTTTTTTTACACCATTGTTAGTAAGTAGTTGTAAGTATTTCAAAGTAGATAGGTACTTGGGAAAAACTGGGGGCCAGTTTTCTTGAAGGGGGGAGCTGTGTCAAGAAGTATAAATGCCTAGGAATTAACACCACTCAAACTCTCGTTCGTTTCAAGATCTTCTATCATTAATTAACTTTTCCAAATTAAAACATTCAGTACATTGCAGTTCGATCAGGCCAGCGGAGTTCATAGACATCATTTCCTTTATAATTTGCAAAGAAATCGCTTACCGCGGCGATAATACCTAGGTAAGCGGTATCGAAAAGCTATCGACCGTTCCCCGTGTGGAAAATAGCGAACCTAGCATCGATTCCGAATATAAATAGTACCCGAATCGATGAGGCATTCATTATTCATTATTCATAATTCATTATTGACACAAGTCATTCTAGTGAAAATCAAAATGTTCGCCGTCCTCCCAACTTCAAGCCTGCTGGTCAACCCCCTGCTAGACGTAATAATGTAAGTGCTGTTTTTTTCCAATGTTGTTCTGCGTTGATCTTTTTTCCCTTTTTGTTAACCTGCCATGTGGCAGCATCTATTCATAAAACTTTTCATTCAGTTAATAAATGTTATTTTTCTATGAAAACTGTCCGGTCTCTTTATTTGGGGGTGAATGGGGTTGAATGGTGAAATGATCAAAATCCTCTCATTAAGCCAAGCGAGTAGCCAAGTTGCGATCCGTAGGAGGTCGAACATCTGAGTTGCGACAATATTGAATCCGTCTTGATTTTTTTAATTTTGACGAAACAATCATTATCTCCTACCCCGTAAACCCCCAAATACCAATTTTGAATAGAATCGGATCTTCATTACAAAACTCGTCCACCATATTGGATCCGCCATCTTGAAAATCCCAATTTTGACGAAATAGTTATAATCTCCGACCCCGGAATTTTTTAATAGAATCGAATCATAATTTTTTTTTATCGCTTGAAGCGCACGAAAGGGAATCCCTATAATGTTCAAAGAACATCGTGCGTTCCTAGGGAGGATAGGGATAGGAGGTAGATATTGGATTTTTTTTGAGCTTCTGGAGATTATATGTTGTTGGGAATACTTCCATGAATTCCAGAGCCTAGCCGTTCTATGTATGAAGGAGTTTTGATAAAGTGCTGTTCGACATCTTTCGAGGTTGACAACGAAAGGATGTGCTGACTGGGCTTGTCTAGTTCGTTCGCAATATTGGGTCCGCCATCAAGAATTTCCCAATTTTGACAAAAAATCAAAAAGTTCTACCCCGAAAACCCTCAGATACCAATCTTAAATAGAATCAGATCGTAATTAGAAATTTCTTTTGCTATATATTGGATCCGGCATCTTGAATTTTTCAAGTTTGACGAAACAATCATCATCTCCAACCCCGGAAAACCCCATATACCTTCCAATTTTGATCATAATTACAAAACTCGTTCGTCATATGATCTTTCCCAACAAGTAAATACCCTGTACCTACCCATCATTAAAATTTTGAATAATTTTCTGTAGCGCCCATGGATATGACGTGACAGCAATGTCAAGGATGCCAGTAGACAAAACTAAAATCTCTAGATCATTAAAAAAGAATGCAGCTATGATCTGTCCGTACCCTGTTGAGATGACTTTAACGTCAATTTCCATCAAGGGACCCTAGTCATAGCTATAATTTCCCACCAAATTCGTCAAAATGGATCAATGCAATGCGACGTTGCCTTACCGTTCGGATTGAGCGTGCACTTGACCATGACGGGCTTGTTCTTGACGTAGTCTAGGAGGGCAAGCCCGTGTGCGGTGCCGGCGGCCACCAGGCCCCAATCGGAGTGCAGCACGCAACAGGTGACGGCGGCCGGCGGGTGCAACTGCAGGACAGCGGTGGCTTGGAATCCGCGCGGTTGGTGGATGTCGCCTGGAATGGAATTTGGTTATAAAGCCCGTGTCTCACGGTCCAACAATTTGATCAAATTTGTTTGATGTGACGTCATTCTTACCTGTTTGACTCAAACGGTTTGATGTGACAAGAAATCTTTGTCACACGATTTGAAGATTTTTGAACAAACATATTGGTTAAGTAGGTTTTCTAAAATGGAAAAAATCAAAAGGGAAAATTAAATAAAATGCATTACATGGTAAGTATTATGTTTTGTATTTGTAATACAAAGTGATTTAGAAATTAGAGAGACATATGTAGAACATATTAGCTTCAAAGAAGAAATATTGGTAGATGAGTCCTACCTATGATTTTTGATGGGGTCAGACTGGAGGATATCCCATAGTGAATTTCAAGATCATAACAAAGTCTCTACTCAACCAAACATAAATTTGGTATTGGACCAAGACAAAAATATTCCTCGAATTATCCGAAATGGTCCTCATTCCAATTACCAGGACAGTTATTTTTGAAGTGTTGATAATATTAATGATAGTATTTCTTGTTAATTCCCAAGATATAGAATAATAATCAATAATCAATGGAGAAAACATGGAAACAAGCATCCTAAACTAATTGTTTGATTCAACACGACCAATATTAGAACAAGTTCTAAATTTCATCTGCTGTTTGACGTGACGTCACTGATGACATCACAGATCTGTAGTTTGATCAAATTTTTGGACCGTGAGACACAGCCTTAAAGGGTTTCCATCGAGAGCGCCTCCTGTGGCAGGTGAAATAAATTTAGCTCTTCTCAACCTTGACTAATAAGCCTATTTTCAATGAATAATTTAAAAAAAGGGGACTTATGTAGCTAGTTATGAGACCCCGACAGAGTAGGTCACTTTTTATCTTTTTTCAAAGACTCCAGTCAAATTTCGGAATGAATTAGTATAATTCCTATATGATGCCAACTTCGTGAAGGACACTATTTATCCCTATTATAAACAACGTTTCTTGAGTTAATGAAGGCATTCAATCAAGCTTCAAACAGGAAAATAATTCGAAAACATTTAAAAAATTGTCAACTGATTTTATAATAAATCTGGAAACATTAGGTGGAAGATTATTTGAGATAGTCTATTGAGAGAATCTATCATATAAGAGCTCCTGCAAAGTAAATAACGGTAAATAATAGTAATAATATTGAATAAATATAAAAAAGGATATAACAATTTACAATTTTAAATTCAATGTTACAGTCTTGTTCGTTTTGTTATTTTGTATTTCAACTATGACGTCATTTTTTAAAACTGTATTGGATGTAATAATATGTTATGTGTATACAGTGTGGTCATTTAAGTGTGCAACATATGGAAATCTTTTAAATGAATTGCACAACCAAAATACAGATAGTGCCGAAAGTTGGTGCATGTTCGGTGCTCATTTAAGGTGCACTTAGAATTGTTGCATGTCACACAGCATACAGGGAAGGTCAAGGAATATAAAAATTGCTCAAGAGCAAAGTACCCTCATTTCAGAAAATTCAGCAAGATGTTTTTGAGAAAAGTTGTTTACAATTGAAAGTTATGCCTAAATACCAGAACATGGACTCCTAAGACATTTTTTGGTTTTTCAATTTTGTTCGTGAATATTTTCCCAATTCGTAATTTTTTTATATTCACCTTAAATACTTTCAGAAGTTGATCATAACAGAATCAGTTGAGCATACCTTCGATCAAATTCAAGCATATTTGTGCAATTAGCTTGGATTTTAATTTTTTTAGGGAATCACAAACTTTATGTTTGTTACAACGATATTCAGCTGGTCTTTAATATTTCGCAAAACATATTTTTAACAAGGCAAAACATCATTAATGATAATATGCATTTTCAAAAACATCCATTTATTGTGAACATTTTGTATTGAAAATATTATAAATTGGGAAATTGTTAACGAACAAAATTGAAAAACTAAAATATGTCTTAGGAGGCCATGTTTGTATATTTAGGCATAACTTTCAATTGTCAACAACTTTTCTCAATAACATTTTGGTGAATTTTCTGAAATAATGGTACTTTGCTCTTGAGCAATTTATATATTTCTTGACCTACCCTGTATGCTGTCTGATTTGCAATCATTCTAAGTGCACCTAAAATGATTACCGAACATGCACCAACTTTCGGCACTATCTGTATTTTCGTTGTGCAATTCATTGAAAAGATACCCATATGTTGCACACTTAAATGCCCACACTCTATACAGGGTGTCCCACTTACCATGCTCACCATGGGTATCTTTTAAACGGTGAGAGATACGAGGTCGGTTAAATGACACCAAATGTGGAGTTTGTCAAGGCCAACTATAATATGAAACAATATTTCGATAAAATCTGTTCGTTTTTGTGTTATAGGCAAAAAACAGATTTTGATCATTTTCATGTCTCCTCCGTAACTTCTTTATTTATAAAAATATTCAAATAGGAATTTCACATTCTCATGACAGTTTTTCAAAGTGATTTCGAAAAAAATATGAAATTTATACCAACTCTTCTAGAATTTGAGATATCAGCACCAACTTTAGTTTTTCAAATGTAGGTCATAGCTCACTAGGACTTAGTTACAAATAACTTTTTTTTTTCTTTCAGATGATATGTCGCAGTAATAGTTTTGTGTTGATAACAACGGAGTTATCGTCATTTATACAAAAACAAAAAAATATTTGGGAGCCGCCATCTTGAACTTATAAATTTTAAAAATAAAATCATGATCTCCGACCTCAAAAACCCCCACTTACCAATTTTGAATGGAATCGGACCAAATCTTGTCCGCCATCTTCGAGCAGCCAATTTTTTTCATTTCAACAAAAATTCCATAATGTATTGTCACCAAAATTATGAACACCTGCCAAATCAAGTTAAACGGAGTTATGGAATTTTTGTTGAAATAAAAAAAAAAGGCTGCTGTAAGATGGCGGACAAGATTTGGTCCGATTCCATTCAAAATTGGTAAGTGGGGGTTTTTGAGGTCGGAGATCATGATTTTTTTGTTAAAATTTATAAATTCAAGATGGCGGCTTCCAAATAATTTTTTGTTCTTGTATAAATGACGATAACTGCTTTGTTATCAACACAAAACTATTACTGCGACATATCATCTGAAAGAGAAAAAAAAGTTATTTGTAACTAATTCATAGTGAGCTATGACCTACATTTGAAAAACTAAAGTTGGTGCTGATATCTCAAATTCTAGAAGAGTTGGTATAAATTTCATATTCTTTTCGAAATCTCTTTCAAAAACTGCCATGAGAATGTGAAATTCCTATTTGAATATTTTCATAAATAAAGAAGTTACGGAGGAGACATGAAAATGATCAAAATCTGTTTTTTGCGTATAAAACAAAAACGAATAGATTTTATCAAAATATATTTTCACATTAAAGTTGGCCCTGACAAACTCCACATTTGGTGTCATTTAACCGACCTCGTATCTCTCACCGTTCAAAAGATACCCATGGTGAGCATGCTAAGTGGGACACACTGTATACTTATGTGTTATTACTGAAATTGTGATTCTCGAAAATGAAACGATTCTATTCTATTCAATTCCATTCATCCACCAGACCCACCTTGCTTGGGCGACAGCCGCCCGTGCCCTTTCCACACGAACCCGTCCCTGTCGCTGACGATGTCCATCGTCGTCGTCCTGAGCGGCCCGTCGAGCACCTCTGTGTCAAACTTGGCAACGACGACCTGCCCGGCCGTGCCGCCCACCAGTAGCGTGCCCGACAGCGGACACAGCGTCACCCGTTTGACGGCCAATCGCGGGTCGTCCGAGTACGGGTCGAAGACGCCGGTCTTGCGGAAGGGCGGCCACTCTTCCTCGAGGTCCTCGGGATCGGGGTGCACCTCTGGAAATGAAGATTTTTCGATTATGAGGGAGAATGTATAACATTATGGAAGATTTTACAATATCCTCCAACATTCTGCAACACCCTTCAACATTCTGCAATATCGTAGTACATTACAGAATCTTTTAGAATATTATCTGGAATTCTGAAACATTGATGTACATTCTAGAACTTTTTGAAAGATTATCTGAGATCCTGAAACATTTTCCAATAGTCTGCAACATTCTGGTACATTCTAAAACATTCTGGAAGGTTATATGAGATTCTGCAACACTTTAGACCACTCTAGAACCTCTTGAAAGAATATCTGAGTTCTGAAACATCTTTCTACATTCTGCAACATTGTAGTATTTTCCAACACCTTTTGGAAGATTATCCAAGATTTTGCAGCAACATTTGGGTATATTCTAGAACGTTTTGGAAGATCATCCGAGTTTCTGCAACATTCTCCAACATTCTAGACCCTTCATGTTTTGGTTCCCACGAAAACGGATATCTTGTAATGTCCAGAGAACATCGTGAGAACCAAGGGAAATAGGGTAGGAATTGGTGTTCTTAAATTTCTGGAGGTTATATGCCTCGGGGAACACCTCCCTCAGCAATATGTTCCAGAACCTCGCTGTTCGTTGTATGAACGAGTCTTTAAAAAGAGATGTTCTGCAGATCTCGTAAGTGACCACAAAGGCGTGCGAAGTCTCAACTCGACGGGTTAATCTCGCGGGGACTGCCAAGGGAGGAACAATTGTTGATATTTCAGAAGAGCATCGTCTACAAAAATATCTATAAAGTAAAGCCAGATCGCCAACTTCTCTACGGTGTTCCAGAGAAGTGGGTGGGTTGAGTTTGTGAGCGAGGCATCACCCACGAGACAAATTGCCCTTTTTTGGGCAGAATTGAAAAGTTTCAGGGTATGTTTGGGTGCTGCACTCCAAATATGGGAACAGTATTCCAGGACAGGTCGGATCTGTGCCTTATAGATCATAAGCAGCTGACTGGAAGTGAAATAGCTCCTGGCCCGAAACAGAAAACCAAGTTTTTGGGATGCACTTTTAGCAATTCATCCCACGTGATTTTCCCAAGAAAGGTTATTGCTGATAGTAATACCAAGTATCGAAATGGATGTCTTCAAAGGTATGGTTACTCCTGAAAGATTATCTGAGTTCTGAAACATTTTCCAACATTCTGCAACATTGTATTTTCTGAAACCTTTAGGAAGAAAGAAAAGCGTGTTCAAAATAATGAAATTATCGAATAACCACACAAAGACGTTATAATATGACGCATTATTATGTAACAACTCGTGAGAGTTGGCTTGAAGAAATCCCGATTTATTGAATATATACAATATATCCATAAAAAATATCAAATATACGACAATGATTTTGCAGTTCTACCCACCATTCGCGATTTCATTCATTTATCGGTGTTTGGCGTTGTTGGTATGTACTTTTAAAGGATTCAGGAATGGATCGCTGTGTCTATCGTTATTTTGTTTAAGGGTCATCCAGTTGTATAACAGATCAGTGGTTCGTTTACCTTCTGGCTCGTCGCCGGCGGAAAACGCAGCCGTCCCAAACTTGTAGATGGGCGTTTGGGCGTGGCACCCTTCCAGCACAGCAGCTGCTCGCCGTCGACAGGGCACGGGCACAATAAACAGATAGACAGCCACATCTACGATTTGAATTAATTCTGCCTTCTCTCTCCGTTCATTAACATACCCACACATGACTCCAAATCTTTCAACCTGTTCCTTTGCACACAACTCGAGAGTTTTTACAAGTGTAGTTGCGGAATACTAGGCAATACTTTCGATTTGTTCAAGAAAAAATACAATGAATACATCTCTGTGTTATAACCTAAACATGTTTGTTTCCTGAGCACACTCCTATAAGAATCCTGTGATGACTGGAATCTTCACTGACGCTATTGCTGATGCCTTCTGCAGATATTTGTGGTTCACCTTATCACCTATGGATGATCCGGAACTCAAATCGTACGAAACCACATATAACTCGAATTTTCAGAGGACTAATGCAGGAGTTTTACTCCTAACTCACCTTAAGCATTCCAGCTGTAAAGTGCTCTATAAACATGCATTTAGGGCTGCCATATGAGTTTCTCAATTCACAGCAACTCAGCAAGACTTTATCATGAGACTCTGTTTCCTCAAAAGAAAATTTGTGTGAACAAACAATGTCCGTACACTAGGAAGTATACCATGTAACTGGAAAACACCGCCTGTATTCAACTTTCACTGGTTTGTTCATTCGATAGATGTTTCGAAATATAATCGCTTAGGTTATAGGCACAAAATGAGCCAAAAATCTATCGAAAAAGCATCATAATTTGATTGAAAAAACTATAAATTATATGGTGACAATGACAAATTCGTTTGTTGACCACTTTTGGAAAGGTTCTAAGGCACACTTTGTGATTTTCGCAAATAGTGCATTCCTGAACCATTTGCAAGATTTAATAAGATTCAGGAACATTTCACAACATCCTCCAACATTCTGCAACATTGTAGTACATTGTTGAACCTATTGGAAGATTATCTAAGATTATGAAACATTCTTCAACATTCTTGAACATTCTCTAATCCATAATGAACATACACACATTTATAGAAAAATATCAATTCTCTGGCAACGATTTCTCAGAGTTATCCCCACCATTCGCGATTCCATTAGCGTATACTTTTCAATGATTTATAAATATAGTGCTGTGTATCTATTGTTATTCAATCCAAGGTTCATCCAGTTGCATAAGAGATCAGTTTTTTTCTTACCTTCCGGTTCATCGCCGGCGAAGAATTGCGCCGTCCCGAACTTGTAGATGGGCGTGAGGGCAACGCCGCCCGCGTCCCAGAAGCGCACCGCCCCGTCCTCGTGCCCGGTCAGCAGCAGCTCCCGTTTGGGCGTGGCGCCCTTCGAGCACAGCAGCCGTCCGCCGTCGACCGGCCACCGGCGGGGCGAGTAAAGATGGCCGGTCTGCACTTTGCCGGCGTCTTTCAGCTGGCCCCACAGTTTCTCGGGGATTCCTGCGGAAAATTAATGGAATTATTTTCTCTTTCGAGGTGAAGAATTGATTGGTTTTTATTAAAGACATTTTTGTTCATTTGTCCACTGATTCAAAATATGTCAGCCCCATTTGTTCCTGGACAATTTTAGGTTGAAGTTTTTATCTTCTATTTTTTTTTTATAATTGTAACAATGGTTTGAGATAACTTTTTCTGTCTGTCTCTCAGGCTGATAACCGGAATAATGTTGTATCAAACTGATTAATTAAATGGACCGATGAAGTGCAACGTGTGTTTTTGTTGGAACACTCCTGGTTTCCACAATATTTCAAGAGAAAGACAACTTAGCGTTTTACTTTTTCAGACTAGAGTTCCTTAATGTGTTTCTAACTTATATATACGTTTTTGTATATTTAGAGTACCGGCACTCGACAAGCAGTGAGTCGGATATAACCACAAATTATTTCGAGGCAGATCATGTTTGGCCAAACAAGGACATGAATTTTTTTTCTCAGATATATGCTTCTCGCATCTTCCTTCCTCTACATGTTCTGGGAAAAGTTTACCTTAATATCTTTCTTTATTTTTGAATCAGAGTGGATGGTATCTCCTCAGGTGAATGAGAATTGAAGGCGTCATCGCCATTTAATGGGTTCAGATAAAGAAAAATTTCATTCAACATACTGGGTCGAGAATTAATGTTCATTCGTCTATACGAAGTTTGTAATGATAGTAATTTGTGTCGAAATTTCAATAAAGTATTATAACCAGATGAACCTTATCTGAATTTTACCACAACGCTTTTGAACAGATGTTTGCAGTTCATCTATTACCATTAAATTTTAAATTCCCATGTAAATCATATTCGAATAGCATACTCACTACCAATAATATTGGTATTGGTAGCAGGTATGGATGGTGACATTAGATCTATTTTACCCCAACTTATTCTGCTATCTCAAGGTATTGTTGTTTATAGCAGCACCCCGAGCTTCAATTTTTTTAGAAATTTTAGGATTTTGAGGGGATCTGTTCATAGTATTTCTTCCACAGTCAGCTGGCATGCTCCCCGTATATTCGATCTTTTGTGATGTACTGCAACACACACCAGGATATGGTGGAGTGTTTCAAGATGTTTATTATTGTTTATTGAGAAAATAGCTTTCTGTGAGGAATAAAATTCCGGTATGAGGAAGTTGATTACAAACAATATTAACAGAATAACATAAGCCCTGCAACGTTGATCAGTGTCTTTGATCTTGCTCGGTTGGAATTGCCGAAGAGATCTTTGTCCTGCCACAGTCCTGAAAGTCTTCGCCAGTGATACTCTCTGTTCCTGATAATATTATTCAATTTGTCATTCAAATCTTACATTCATATTTATTAATACAAACGTATTTCATAATTTTATTCAACAAAATTGTGAATTGCACTCAATAATGCCTGTATATTTTCAGTTTTCTTGCATTCTCCTGAAGAAAAATGTTAGGTGATTCAATTTTTTCACTCTGAACTATTGATAATCAAGTCTTTCTTATTCAAAATTTGATGAAAATTTGAAGTAAATCGATTCCTAGTATTTTAAATAAGAAATGACAAAATTCCATAATGAAAACTATGTAATATAAATATTTACCTGAAAAATCATATTCCTTTGTCTCTCTTTGCATTTTTTATGTTTTGTACAACAGCACAATGAGAAGGCATGCTTGAATTGTGATTAGCGCAAAAACACGATTCGTATGCCAAAATATTGTGAAAAACTATTGCAATCCTTTGATTCCTCTGTAAACAAATAAAAAAAGTGAGGTTGTGTTTCAATGTTTCACAGGAAAGTGAGGTTGTGTTCCAATATTTCACCTTCAGGATCGGTCATCGTGTACGCGACCGCTTTTTCCATCTACTTATTTAAGGTTATGTGACTGTCAGTGCTTGTCGGGTGTTCGAACTCAAAATACAATGAAACGTCAAAGCAAAAGTAACAAGTACATTATGGAACTCTATTTCGGACTTAATTTGAATCACTACTAGCTATCAGATGTCATTTTTTCCCTCTCAAACTGACTCATTACCTGATACATATTGACTGCAGGTGATGGCGGAAGCATGCAACGACACCAGGTACGGCAAGTTCATCATCTTCCAATTGTCGTCTCGCAAATCGATGGCCACCAGTTCCTCTTCGGCGAGCACGATGAGAGCCTCCGGTTCCCCCCTGCCCGCGTCCCCTCCATTGACCGTGACGGTCTCTTCGTTTTCGCTAGTTTGTTCTTCGGTGTCTATCTCTTCTTCGTCGTCTTCTTGTGTCTTGGACTCTATTAGAATGAAATCGATTACCTAGAAAGAGCAAAATGATTTCTTACCGACCAGTTGCAGAATTTATAATGGACTGAATACATGACTAGTTGAACAATGTGGAAGTTTCCTACATTGACATTTTTATTATTTCTCACTGAAGTTTATGAAGAATTATTATTGTATACGTATTTTGTCCAGGGATGTTCCTCAAGGGGGTGTGCTAGGCCTTCTCTCTTTATCACCTTCATTGCTGATATTCTTACGAAGGTCAATATAGGGTCCTCTGTCCTATTTGCGGATAATATGTCCAACTTATACCTCTGATTGTATGACCAACCTTAGGTCCAGTGTAGGTGAATGTGCTAGACAGACTTTTGAATACAGCACTCAGAATAACTTGGTTCTCAATTCAAAAACAGTGATGATGGTTTTTAGTACTAGAGATAAAGATCAGTCCCTATGTTCATGAAAATGAACATACAATCAAATAGCTATCTACTACCAAATTCCTTGGAATCAATATTGATGAGAAGTTGTCAAGGTCTTCACATTTCGATTTCATTCTGAAGAAGCTTTGCTACCACAACTTTGTCATTTGGAAACTCAGAAGCACATTTTAATATCATACTATTATGCATATGGTTAATCTCTTTCAAGTTACGCAGTTGTGGTCTGGGGTAACTGCAGTAGAGTTAAAGAAATTTTACTGGCACATGAAGGTAAAAAATATCGTTGTATGAGACAAAAAAGTATTGCTGGCCGTTATTGTTCAAAAACATATAAGCAATCTTGTCGGCCATTGGTCCAGGAGTTACAACTGTTGAATATGGCTTCAATTTATGTATTACAGTGTGCAGTTTATGTCAAAAAACATATTGGAAATTTTCAGATTGTTGGCAATATGCAATATTCGAGAGACTCCGACAAATTGGTTATTCCCCAGCATAGGTTAACCTTCGCTAATAACAGCTGTTACATCATGCCACTAAGGATTTATAATCACTTACCCATGAATGTACGACAGACAGTATTTACAAATGCAAGAGAGCTCAGGAGAATTCTAATAAGTGTGCACCAGAATTGACACCGATTCTCTGCAAGCTATTTACCATCTCCTACAAGTCGGGTATTTTTCCATCTTGCTTGAAAATAGCTAGAGTTCAAACAATTCCCAAAGAAGAAAACAAAAGCCGGCCCAACAACTATAGGCAAATTGCACTGCTATCAGTCATCTCCAAAGCCAATAACATTGAGCTCATCAAATATCTGGAAAGCTCAGGAATCATTAATGATAGACAATATGGCTTTCGCCACCGAAGATCAACTGGAGATTTACTTGACTACTTCACCCATATTTCATTAGAAAAACATGGAGAATCTAGCTGTTGCTGTAGCGTTAGATATATCGAGGGCATTCGACCGTGTTTGGCACCAGGGACTGCTCCACAAACTACCATCATACGACTTAACACCTCAGCTATGCCATCTTTTATCGAGTTTTCTTTCAGGCAGATCGCTCCATGTGGTGGTGGACGGAGTATCATCTGATACCATTGCCATCAATTCCAGCGTTCCACAAGGATCAATCTTGGCACCCACATTGTTCCTACTTCATATCAACGATCTATTGAGAGAAACCATTTGCCCTATCCACAGCTTTGCAGAATATAGTACTCTCTTCATACTGCGTTCTCTTCTAGAATTACCATTTTATCCCAGGAAACTAAGAACTTGCGAAGAAGGCAGGCCAACGCTGTCAATGAAGATCTTACGAAAATTACAGCCTTTCTTTAGAAAGGCGGAACTTAGTATGCCTGATATAACAATGTCCGGTACCAACATTCCCACCAAGACCACTACATCTATGCTCGGTATTTCCATCAGCTAAACTCTCTGATGTGGAAATCATGTTCGATCCATCGTAAAAGCTGCTTCACAAAAACTCGGTTTCTTGTTCCGTGCGAAAATCTACTTTACACCACGACAGCTTCTTATGATCCACAAAGCACCGATCCGGCCGGTTTTAGAATACTGCTCTCATGTATGTGGTTCAGCACGAAAACATACGCTGATGCTCTTAGATCCCATCCAGAGAAGTCATTCGCCTGGTGGGTGATACCACACTCACCAGCTCTTCGACCCCATTAGAACACCGGAGGAAAGTCGGCGACCTTTCATTTTTCTATAAATACTTCAACATGAAATGTTGTCGTTAACCTTGAAAAATGTCGAACAACACCCTACCAAAACTCGTTCTTCTATAGAACGGCGAAGCTTTGGAATTCTTTGCCAATGGAAGTATTCCCAAGAACTTATAACCTCCAAAAGTTCAAAAAAAATTCAATACCTAGGTACCTCCTCTCCCTGTCCTTCCTTTGAACGAGCATTATAGGAATTTCTTTTAGTGCGCTCCAAGAGATGAAAAAAATACGATTGTGTTAAGAAAAACAGCCGATATATTATTCCATTTTTGTTACCGTACCCCTTACCGAATATGGGAAAATATAATGGACACCCATTAGGAAAACTATTAAAACATACAATCGACGTGTTCGAATACTCTGATTTTGTTCGTGTATTTTGAATTTATTCCATCTGGTTGGTCCACAATGATTAAATTGTTTTGAAAAATATTTCACATGGAAATTATAAATATCCCAATAGAAACATGCCAATCTATAAACCAGAAGAATAATAAATATGTTAGAAATTTTTGATAAAACACTCGATTCCTGGAAGATGATTTCAATAATATGTCTAAGCTTCAATTTCTTAAAAATATTACATAGATTTCTACGAATTCGAACTAGGATGTAAAGTTGATTACTCGGTTTCCCACCTCATTTTAACAATAATTTACGACTGAGGAGTAGAACGGTGAAACATCTAGACCAATCAAATTGTACAAAAGTTGAGTTAGCATGGCATCCGTATCGGTATGCTTTCTGTATAAACCTGTATTGTAATATTTTATCAGTAATACATTGGTCTATAGAACATCGTACTGGTTTGATACAGGGTTCAAATCATAATTACACCAATTTGTTTTTGAAATGATTGTTGAATGATGAAGAGTGATTCGTTATTTCAATGTTTTTTTTAGGATCGAACGTGCGAGGAACAATAGTTTGGAGCAAAACTAAATACTTGCTAAGAAATTTGAATTTACCGCCATATTAGCTAGATTGTGCAGCATAAATTGTAACGCCCAGTACCTAGAGTATATATATCTATGTGATCCAACAATAATTTATTCTTTCATTCAAAAACATGACAATCATATTAATTTTATTGGACTGAAATTGTATAAAAAAGTGCAAGTATCTTCTCGCATTGGGTCATACAGTTATTAAATAACATTGTTTCATTCTAAAGCTAAAGAAGAAACTCACCAATAAATTTATTTTTTACTGTAAAATAATTGCTTCTTTTATATGCATATGAAAGAAATAATAGTATATTCTTCAACGAGCGTATAATGATAGCTATTATTCGCGAGGATATGATTCAGAAACGAGCCGTAGGCGAGTTTCGGAATTATCCGAGAGAATAATAGCTATTATACGCGAGTAGAAGACTATACTTTCTCTACGACTATACGATAGTCAGAAATTTAATGTAATCTAATTATTATTTATGAAAATAATATACTTGATGTATGAATTTTAATGATATTATAATACAATTGACAGGAATCTTTAATATTCAACGAACTCAATGATGAAACAACACAATGATTATTAGGTCAGTAAATCATGTTTCTCGTACTCAGTGACTAAATCTTTAGTGATATTCTCACAATTCGTGAAATTTAATGTTGCATTTAAATCAACACTGACATTTTTATTCATATTGCTAGTTGATGTTTTTTGTGTGATGGAACTGTTATTTGATGATGATGAACATTGTTCGATTCATTGAAGAATTCGAATCTGCCGTTTTTTTTTATTCAACATGGAATCTTCTAGAAATCCTTCTGCCACCGATGTGCTCTTTCCAGCCACCATGTCTTTTCAATGCTGTTATACCTCCACCTGCATTGACAAGAAAAGCAATACCCGGTGTACATCTCGGGAATTGGTAGCTACCAAAATGTAACTATTTGTTTTCCCATTGCTGCAAACTTATTAATTCCAATTTTCTAAAGAGTACATTTTCCTTTTTGGTAATTCATGAAAAAATAGGAAATCACAACATTTGTTGCTCGTATATCAATGTACTTTTTACAAAATTGATAAAATTTTCCGGTTACAGTGAATCTCCTTACAATTTTTGTTTTGGTCTCAGGAATAGTTATCATCCATGCAGATCCAAGATCTTGAATATCTTCAGTGTCTTCAATATTCATAGAGTACATTTCTATGGAACGGCAAGCCTCTATTATATCCTCCAGATATCAAAGTTAAAACTTAAAAGACTCTATAAGTCAATCTGATATTCGCGAAAGTCAAGACGTGACGTGACCCGTAAAATGAAGCAGAGCCTTCTTGAGAAATTTGTTTGGTAGATTTGCTGGTTTTTCATTAGTGTAACCTTTTCAGTTGCTGTGGATCCTGAAAATTCTGAATCTGTGATTGGTCGAGTGCCGTTGAATAATGAGTTGGGATCCACGGTGTCTTGGAATCATCTTCATTCATCAATTACTAACCTATATGTAATCAATGTAGAATACGATAGTCGTAGAGAAAAATAATTAATAGGTTGCATTATATATTTGTTTAAGAAAAATAAATTAGAAGAAGCACTTTGCGCCAAATTGTGCAATTTGGTAGGAAAGGGTTGATTTCCAAATGCAATAACTAAGTGTATAAAATTCATCATCATTTATACTGGTTTGCTGTAAAAAAACACTAAAACATGCCGATTTTCACACTGTATAACAATTCTCTAAAGACAGGCTAATCCAAACAAATTGTGAAGTATAAATGCTTGCCAAACACTTTTTCAGCTAAGAAAATTCGATTTCCACAACACAAGAACAATAACATGAACATGAAATTAACAATCATGCAGTAACATGTGAAAGGAGCATTCCGATT